GGGTTAGGTTAAGGGTTAGGGTTAGGTTAAGGGTTAGGTTTAGGGTTAGGTTTAGGTGTTAATTTTAGGTTTAGCGTTTACAGCGTGCTTTTTTCTCCGCGCTGTTGTCGCGCTGTGATGACGTCAGGTGCGCGGTTTCGTCGAGCGCCCTTTAGTCGAACGCGGTTTTGTGGTGGAACCGGGGGAAAGCAGGGTAAGACGAGACTTTGATGACAGTGATAGACAGAGGCAGGGGAAGGGCTGGGAAGCCCATCTGTAGGGAAGTCATGTGAAAGAGAAGTTCTTCGACCCTAAGCCAAGGGCACCACCCTGAATCCTCCCCCAAAGTAAGGAATTTGGGGGTGTCTTTTGTCCCGTAGTTCATCACGGAAGGCTACGCGTCTCATCTGGCCCAGCTGGAGTACACCCACCGCTCCCGGCCTGCCAAGAACACCACGCGGATGGCTCTCCGGAAGGGCAGCTTCGGACTCCCCAGCCAAACCGAATTCCTGCGCAAGAGGAACCACCTGTTGCGAACCATCTCCTCCCAGCCCGCTGTCTCCGCCGGCCAGGGTGCCAGTTACCGTCCGGAGAGGACGCAAAGCCACTCCGAAAGTAGCCGGGAAAGGGACCGAGAACGCAGCCAGAGGAGCATGAGTCTCGCCACGGGCTGCTGGGGCCGAAGCCCGCTCCCGAGACTTGAACCGGGGAACTTGGGTCAGAAGTAGGAGGCATCCGAGGCGCGATGATGGCCGGCTGCACATGCCCGGGTTGGCGGAAGTGGGAGCCCGCGGCAAGGTCAGCGGCGTGGGGCTCGTGGGCAAATATGGTGCTACTCATTGCTGGTGGGGACGGCGGTGACCTGGCCAGGAGCTATCGAGCGATTTGGGTTTGCTTTGCCCCTCCCCCCCACAAAACACGCAGGCCTGGACAGTGGCAGGGACGTTGGGTACGTGGAGCGCAACCGGGCGGGCCGAGAACAGGAGCCGCCTTCTGCCACCGAGACTTCAAGCTGCCTCATCTTCAAGATCCACCGTTTTCCAGCTCTTATCCAGGGTTAGAGATTGTAAATAATGTGCCTCTTCAGCTTCTTCTCGTCCAGCCATCCGTCAAAGACGAGAAGACACAAAGAAAACACACCGGTACCATTGGGAGCAGCAGCAGCAGCACCACAGGTTGTGGGTAGGAGAACCATGCGTTCATGTTAGCCGGCCCTGGGACCTGGACACGAGGAAGGGGACACCGCCAACTATCACAGCTTGACAATCGCAATGCCACTTGATTCACTTCCGGAGTCTGGAAGGACTCGGGACCTATAAGCGGAAGCCACAGCTTCAGGGTCGAGTCACGTTTGGAACGGCTTCCACTCGGCGACGTAACGCTACGTTGTGTGACGCACACACCATTGGATAGGTGGTTGATCGAGGCTGGTTCGAATGAAAATGAGTTTGGAAGTTGACGGGATTTCACGAATTCCGGGGGGTGGGGGGAGAAAAGAGTGTTAACAGGCACAAGATTGGGTCCCTACAAAGAGGGAAAGGAGCATGATTTTGGCAAGACCTACCGTACGATTCGGAGCACCTGGGACGTGCGACCTTTGCTCAGCCTAAAACCGAAAATAAAAAAAAGAAAGCTACGTCCAAATTCTTCCCAGCCCTTTTCAGATTATTGTTATTGTTGTTGTTATTTATTTATTTATCCCTTCCCCCCCGCCCGCCTGCTGTTAAGACTGGAATTGTTTTTTCGTTTTTCCAACATTACAAAAACTGGCTTTCGGTGGAAGTTGTAACCTCGTTTTTCTTTTTAAGCTGTAGCTACGTCGCACTGGCACGCCTTGGTTTTTAGGTTTTGCACTGACAAACTTTGAGGAAGAAAGTCTGGGTTTTTTTTTTTTTTCTTCCCCTCAAGCGGCTCCTTCCAGATTGGATAGCGTGTGATGTTTAAATGTTGTTAAGCCACGACACGTCTGTCCGTTCCTACAAACACACAACACGGCAGGCTGAACGAAGGAAGAGATTTCCCCCAAGGCCATTCGCCCTTTCGATATATCAGGAAGATTTTTTTTAAAGAATGTTCAAATTTGCCCCCTTGAGGACATGTCAATCCGATGGGGGAAGATTAGGAGAGGAGAATTTGATGCTGGAAAAAGATAGAATCTCTGAGCAGGAGTGGATTTATAATACAGGGAGGTCCTCAGCTTAAAACCTGTTCGAAATTACGACGGCACTGGAAAAAAAAGGGACGTATGACTGTTTTTGCGTACTTAACGAACCGTCGGCTGGTGATCAAAATTCGCCCCCGTTGTGACCGCTGGTTCGTATTTACGACGGTTGCAGTGTCCCGGGGGCACGGGATCCCCTGGTCAGCAAAGCCCGATTTGCTTAACAACCATCGGACTTGCAATGACGGTGACTCTCTTAACAATGGTGGCCAGAAAGGCTGCGAAAACGGGGCAAGAGTTCTCTTAACCGCTGTCCCGCTTAGCAATGGAAATTTGGTGGGGGGGGGAGGGGTCGATTGCGGTCGTAAATTGAGGACCACCTGTATTTTCCTCCTGCTTCTCTGCTCGTTTACCTGGCCTGAAGAGCTTTCAAAGCTTGTTTGGGGGGGAAGAGAGAGGGCTGTTCACCCTCCTCTCTCTCTCTCCTCTGTTTGAAATCCAGATTTTTCTAGCTGCCGCCAAGGGGCATTTTAGCCTTTCACTGGCCTTGTCTTCTACTGGCCTGCAATGCTGCTACTTTTTAAATATTTACTCAGAGGTTTCTCCTCGCTCTCCTCCAACCGCTTGGATCACTCTTTTATCTCGCAGGGACAACGCCCATCTTTTCTTCCTCCCCCTCCAGAGCGATGGACGTCCAAACTCCAAAAACTTTTGCACTGCCTTTTCCTGACCACCGCAAAGCTTCGGTGGTTGTTATTATTATTTTTTCAAATGAACAAATGCTCTTTTTTTATAGTCTTATAATCTATTATATACACCTCCTCCTGGCATCCGTTTCTCTCCCTTTGAAAAGTGCCGGAGTAAAAATTCACCGTACGGGGCAAATCTCGCTGGTTTAGGAAGCCATATTGCATGATTCTAAACCGTCTATCCAACGGCAAAAGGGACTAGAATGTTTTCTTACTTATTTTAGGGATTTCCCCCCCCCCCGCCTCTTCTCTGTCTGGTGAAGCCTAGTGGTTAGGGATGGACGCTGAAAAACCAGGCGCGGGAGAGAGGTGTCCAAACGGATTGCGTTTCCGCTCTTGTCTCGTCCCATCGTTGCGTCTCCATTACGTCAAAAGACACCACAAAAATTGCCAAGGGAAACTTAACGCTGTGTTTGAGACGTTCATCCTTTCCTTCTTGGCTCTGCACAACCCGTCAGCCAAGACACAACCTTGTGTGTGAACATTTGCAAACTCTAAAGAAAAAACAACAACAACAACAGTACGTCTCGTGTCTCTCGTGTGTGCATTTTGCAAGATGTGTGTTAAAAGAGAGAAAAAGTCGGTGTAAAACTGTTTTTGCAAACTTGGCAATTTCAACATGGGCTGGGGGAGTGGGGATCCCAACATGCTGCCTGGGGGATTCTGGGAATTGAGATCCACCCATGCTGGCTGGGGGATTCTGGGAATTGAGATCCNACAGCAGCACACGGGTCTCAAACGTTTGCTGATTTTCAACCCGTTGTTCTAACCACCCGAGCCGCCGTGCTCTTTATGGGATACTATAAGAATAGCAGGGACATATTTTCCGATTGACAACGAGAGACCTGTCCCTCTCCCTCCGCTCATCCGTCTTTCTCGTTCTCCCCCCCTCAGGCATTGGCAAGAGCTTGGCTACCTCATTATCTACGTCACGGGCCGGCCCGACATGCAGAAGCAGAGAGTGGTCGCCTGGTTGGCACAGCACAACTTCCCCCACGGGATTGTCTCCTTCTGCGATGGGCTGGTTCACGATCCCTTGAGGCACAAGGCCAACTTCTTGAAATCGCTTGTCACAGACGTAAGCAGTACGCGCGCACACAGTGGGTTCAAGCAGTTGCGGTCAGGCTGTGCTGAGTCCCATTTAAACACGCCTTTGAGTATCCGGGACCTTCTGATCAGAAATTACATTGCAGGAAAGCGAACGAGCCATTCTGAGAAAGGACGGAAAAAAAAACCCAGAGATTGCGGAGTATCGAACGCAATCCCTGTTTATAATGAAATCGAGGTTCAACATTTTCGCTCCTGTCCTTAGTTGTTCTATTTTTGTTCACATTTCCTTACCATCCATGATGGGCTGCGTAGCTGTCTTATTGTGGTCGGGAGATCTGGTTCCCATCCGTCGCCCGCTTCTTTGAATCTGTTTCATACTACCGGTGGTGGTCCTCAGCTTACGATCACCGCTGAGCCCGACGTTTCGGTGGCCGCGCGAGGCAGTTGCAAGGTGGAGTTTTGCCCCACTTTGCAACCTTTCTCATCACGGTTGTTAAGTGAATCAACGGCGGTTGTTAAATTAATAACAAAGTTGTGAATCTGACTTCTCCCTTGACTTTGTTTGCCAGAAGGTCGCAAAAGGGGGATCACGTGACCCTGGGACACTGCAACCATCATCAACATGAATCAGTTGTTGAATTTTGATTTGTGTTACCATGGGAAGGCTGCAATGATTGTGTTAGATCTCAGGCTGACAACTGATTGGTTTCTTCTTCTCCTTGTCCTTCTTCTTCTTCCCCTTCCTCCTCCTCTTCTTCTCCTTCCTCCTCCTCTTCCCCTTCTTCCTCTTCTTTTTCTTCTTCCTCTACCTCCTCCTTTCTTCTTCTTCCTCCTCCTTCTCTTCCCCTTCTTCCTCCTCCTCCTCCTCCTCCTTCCCCTTCCTCCCCTTCTTCCTCTTCCTCCTCTTCTTTCTTCTTCCCCTCCTCCTCCTCCTTCTCTTCCCCTTCTTCCTCTTCCTCTTCCCTTTCCTACTCTTCCTCTTCCCCTTCCCCCTCTTCCTCTTCCTCTCCCCCCTCTTCCTCTTCCTTTCCTTCTTCTTCCAGCTGGACATGAAGATCCATGCGGCCTATGGCTCCACCAAGGATGTCTCTGTCTACACGTCCATCAACCTGTCCCCTCCACAGATCTACATTGTCGGAAGGTCTACCAAAAAGTTACAGAACCAATGCCAAGTAAGATCCTTTTTATTGTAAGGGGTCAAAGCCCACTCTCCACCGTCAATAAATCTTGTAGAAGAAAGGTTAACCGGCTCACCTTAGGTGAAGACCCAGGGCGTGGCACAAAAGCAATCTAACCAGAGAACAGGTCTAACTCCCTTTTATTGCCCCAACTGTGGCCCCAAACATCCCCACTTTCACTACAAATCCTGGGGGAAAGCTCTCACACGGACCTTCAGAAGCCCCTGGCTGCAAGTAGTTCAGTAAGCCAGGTTAGCCCAAACATTAAGCAGGGCCAGCAGTCCAGTAAACCAGGTTAGCTAGACAGTAACCGGAGGAGCAAGGATTTCAGCGAAGCAGCAAACTGGGAAGCCCACAAGATAGAGGACAGCAATCTCCAGGTTTTGGCAAGTGCACACGAGGCTTCACAATTTCAACGCTTGTTCCTGACAAAATGCCCCTCCCACCGGCACCTACTGACATCTCCAGTCCCCAGGCGTGCCTTGTGAAAGGGAGCAGGACACTCTCCTCCCTCGTAGCTGGCTCGGTCTGCGTCGTTCTTGCCTTCTCCCTTCCCTCCGTGCTCTAGGATCCGGAGCAGGTGGTCCTTGCTCTTCTCCTGAGCTCTGTCTCTCCTGCTCCTCCCTGACTGCAAGCCGTTCAAATCAGCGGTGGGTTTCAAAAATTTTTTGGAACCTCCTCTGTGGGTGTGGCGTCCTTTGTGGGAGTGGCTTG